GGAGCTGTGAGGTGGGGGGGGCTGTGAGGGGAGCTGTGAGGTGAGGGAGGTCAATAGGGGAGCTGTGTGGTGAGTGGGGGGGCCATGAGGGGAGCTGTGTGGCGAGTGCCCCACGTGGAGGCCACATGGGAAACCGGTGACTGGGCTGTGGGGGCCACATGCAGGCTGAGCCCCCCCGACCATGAGGCTGGCCACACTGGAGGTGGCCTTGGAAGGGCCGGGGCCAGCATCCCATGGCAGGTGGCCTCCTCCCAGGCCCCTCCCCGGCCCCTCCCTGGCTCTCAGAGGTTGCTTTCTCCTGCACTGCCCTGGCACCCCCAGGTCGGACGGAGACGGCTAGCCAGGAGGCCATGGGGCTCTTCACCAAGTGGAGCAGGGGCCTGGGCTTCCCGTCACAGCAGCAGGCCCAGCTGCAGAAGGACCGTGAGTGTCCACCAGAGCAGCCACAGGGGAGGCGTGGGGCAAGATCTGGTGCCCACAGGGCATGATGGGGTGGCACAGACCCTGGGGCTTCTGCCCAACTCAGTTGCTCTCAGGGAGTCAGGCAGGCTGAGGGGTCCTCATCTGCCCCTGCCCAAAGTCAGGCCTGGGGGCTGGTCCCCAGGGCAGGCGAGTCTTGTGGGCGGGGCCCCAGGGTGCTGGGGGGACTCAGCCTTTTTCACCACCAGCCTTGCGTCCCCTTCTAGTCACCTGTGCTCGCAGGATCCTCCCGGTAAGCCGCCGTCCTGAGCCTCACCCTTGGCTCCCTTGGGGGTGGGGGCAGGAGGACCCTCTGCCTAAGCCCACGGGTTTGTGGCTCCGCTGCCTCTAAGGCAGCTGAGGGTGGGGGAGGGTGCCTCCCTGGTGGGCTGGGACCCTCACACTCCCTTTGGTTTTCAGTGAGCGCTGCGTTCCCAGCAGGGACAGTGCCCGCAGGGTCCTGTGACCCTGGCCAGGGTCCACCCACCTCCCTCAGCAGCCCCCAGGGCCCAGCTCCAGTTCAGAATAAAGCGATTCCACAGCAAACTCGGATGCTCTTGACTGGGGGCCCGATGGGGAACTGTGGGGAGGATGGCAGGGGGTCGTCACCCAGGACCAAGCCACAGAACCAGAGCCAGCTGCGGAGAAGACGCGTGCCTGACCCAGTTACCCAGTCCCTTGCCAGAGCCCCTCTGCGCCTTCCGATACCCAAACTCAGGCCCTGGCTCGGAGGTGGGGCTGGTTGGGGGACACAGCCTGGGAGGAAGCCAGCAGTGATGTCCAGTAGGACCACGGCTGGGTGCCACGGGCGCCCTGGTTGCCCAGGGCAAGAGAGCGGCAGCTGGCAGGGCTCAGAGGGGCCCCGACCCCCCAGGCTCGGCCTTCTCTGGCCTGGGGTTGTGGCTCTTGCCTGGGCAGAGGCAGGGACCCCAGACACCTGAAGCTGCAGGTGCTCCTGTGTTCTGATGGGTGTGGGGGCTGCCTGCCATCCTGCGGGGAGCACAGGCCGTGGGGGCCCCGGGGCTGGAGGCGGGGCTGCGGACTGTGCGGGGCTCATGCTGGGGTGAGGTGAGGCACACACAGGGGCCTGCACCCTCCAGGCTGGGCATACACACACGTGCACATGTGAGCACACACCCACACCTGCACATGGACATGCTCACGGGCATGGGCAGGGGCACACAGCCCCGGCCCGGCCTTTGGTACCTCTCAGGCGCTTGTGGTGCCAGGGCCTCAAGCAGGTGGCGGGGTCTGTGTCTGTGGCCGCCGTGGGGTGCTCCCCACATCCACATCTGCCCCAGAAAAGCCACACCCAGCACTTTGCCTGTCACCTGGGAGGTCTGGGATGAGGGTCAGGGCTTAGTGAGTCTCAGGGACACACACAGTGACCCCAGGCCAGGCGCTGAGGGCAGGAAGGTCCTGGGCCTCAGAGAGGCCTCTGTCTTCCAGGGCAGCCCAGGCCGGCAGTGCCCACGGGGCGGGGTTGTGTGGCTGCACCTGAGTGCCTGGGGGCGGTCCCTAGGTGGGGAGAGAGTAGCAGAGCCCAAAGCCACACCTGCTGTTCCCCCACCCCTCCTGACACAGGCTGGCAGCTCCGGGGAGGTTTAAACACTGGCCTTGGTGGCTGAGGGAGGAGGTGAGGATGAGGCCGGGGCTGCTGGTGCTGGCGCTGGCGCTGGTGCTGGTGCCGGCTTCGGGGTCCCAGGTGCAGGAGGGGCACCCCAGGGAGTCCCACACCCTCAACTGGGACAAGGTGAGCCATGTGCTGCTGGCCCCTGAGCTGGCGCTGAGCCCTGGGGCTGGGACAGGTTCCTGCAGAGTCTCCCGGCAGCTGCCCAGGCTCAGGGCTGCCAGGCGTTCTGGGCACAGGTGCTGCCCACCTGGTCTCTCCGTGGCAGCCTCCAGCACGGGGCCCCGATACCTGCTGGGGAAAGGCAGGGAGCCTTGAGGAGGGGTCAGGGTGGAGGGGCCCAGAGAGCTGTGGACAAGGAGCTGTGAGATGCCCAGAGGGCAGAGGGCAGAGAGCAAGGTGGGTGCGGAGCAAGGAGGGCATCTTCTGCAGCGGGAGGGCCCAGGCACCCTGCTGAGTGAGCTGAGGAGCAGCATTCATTGGCACAGCGGTGCCCAGGATGCAGGGGTTGGCAGCAAGCAGAGTTGGGGGCCGGGGGCTGGCGGGAAGTGAAGTGGCTGAGCAGTACCCGGCCCCCAGAAGTCCACGTGGAAAGGAGCCGGGGCCTCTGAGGTAGGGGCCCTCCCACCTGCTGGTGCCCACGGCCCAGCCCTGTGCTGCCCGAGGTCCAGCTGGGCACCTGCTTCTCTTCGGCCCTGCTCCGGTGGCCAGGGCTTGGGTGGCCAGGACTAAGGCAGCACCCGGCAGGGCTGGGGCTCAGGCTCACAGAAGGGTCCCTTGTTTCCTGGGTTCTGTAGCTGGGACCCTTGGGGGTGGGGGCAGTCCCCGGGGGGCAGTTCCTGTCCCCACCCACACACCTGCTGCGCAGTTTTCAGGATTCTGGTACATTCTGGCCACTGCCACTGACGCCCAGGGATTCTTGCCGGCCAGGGACAAGAGGAAGCTGGGGGCGTCCGTGGTGAGGGTGCACAAAGTGGGCCAGCTCCGGGTGCTCTTCGCCTTCAGCCGGTGAGTAGGCAGCACCCCCCAGGCAAAGGTCTCCCCTTCCAGGAGGAGGGAGCTTCCTGAGGGCTGGAGGGGAGTCCAGGAGGGGCCTGTCCATCTGGAAGTTACACAGGGACCGTCCCCACTTCCTCCCGCTAAACTCAGAGGAAGCCGCCTGCAGCCCTGGGGCCACCCCACAGCGGTGGGTGTTTGGAGTGTCTCCCATGCCGAGGGACAGGCCCTGATCTGAACTGGAAAACCCTCAGATGAGCTGGATAGTGAAGCAAAAAACCGGGGACCTGGCCAGAACCTCCCCACAGGCCCCACGGGAGCGAAGGCGGGACTGGGAGGTGTCCGAGGGGTCCACGGCCTCGGGCGGGAGGAGGGGGTTCCCTGGTCCGCAGCCTGCAGCCCCGCCTTGCCCCCAGGTTGAAGGGGTGCCAGTCCCAGGAGGTGACCCTGAGGAAAGACGGGAAGAAGCCGGTGTTCAGGAACACCTGTGCGTATGCGGCAGGGTGGGAGGAGGACGGAAGGGCAATGTGCCCGGGATCTGGGCCCCGGAGGAGCCGCCTGAGATGCTCTGTCCCCCTGTGCCTTGGGCAGGCCCCTGGCCCCCGAGAGCACGTGGCTGGCGGGCGTCAGGCTGGCTGTGTTCCCAGAGCCCACACATATGTGCGGGGCGGCCTGGCCTGGGAGGGGAGGCCCCGGGAGGGCACTCAGTCCCTTCTGGACACCTGCACCCGGCTGGGGGAGCCGAGGCCTTGGACACCAGGGTCAGGGCTGAGGGCGGGCACAGCCACGCCATCCAGGAAGCAGCGGGCAGCTCCAGGCTTCTCTTTCAGTGAAAGGGGTGAAGGGTTTCCACGTGCTGTCCACTGACTACAGCTACGGTCTGGTCTACCTCCGCCTGGGGCGTGCAGCCCAGAACTACAAGAACCTGCTGCTCTTCCGTGAGCGGGCACAGCGGGTGGCAGAGGATGGGCGGTGGAGGGGGTGCAGAGGGAAGGATGAGGGGCACTGGGCATACAGGCTGGGCACCACCTGGGGGTGAGGTGGGCAGGGAGAGGGCTGGTTGGGGCAGTGGTCGGGGCAGGGGCAATGGAGTGGCATGGAGGCCACCAGGATGGTGGCGGGTGCAGGTGCTGTGTTATGGGTGAGGGACGCAATGGGATGAGGAGGCGTGAGACAGGTCCCAGGTAGGGGTCTGCCGGGATGGAGGGGTGTGGAAAAAGTGACCCCACTTGGGTTAAAGGGCACGGACTCAATTCCAGGCACCGGCCACTCCGGGTACAGGGAAAGGAGTGGCCTGGTCCGTTGGAGAGGGTAGCGGGGAGGTGGGCTCCTGGGGTCTCAGGCGAGGTGGGGCATGTTGAGGGTGCAGCAGGCCCGGGCCCAGCTGAGGGGCTGGCCGGAGGGGATTATGCAAGCAGGGAGGGCTCCCCAGGTGACTTCCCGAGCCTGGCTGCCCTGTGAGTGACGGTGAGGAGGGGCCCAGCAGCCGCTGTCCTTCCCTGGCCAACCCCGTTTCCCGGCGTAAGCGCCGAGGACCTTTCAGCAGCTCCTGGGGTAGGGATGGGGGTCAGACCCTCAAGTGGCCAGAGCTGCAGTCACTGATGTGATCCTGATCCCTGACTGCAGACAGACAGAATGTTTCCAGCTTCCAGAGTCTGAAGGAGTTCATGGACACATGTGACATTCTGGAGCTTTCCAAGACCGCGGTCATCCTCCCAAAAGACAGTAAACTGTGCCCTCGGCCCTTTGCCCTCCTGCCCGCCCTGGGCCCATCCCATCGGGGAGCTGGTTAATTGGGGAAAGGACCCATTGGAAAGGTGCTTTTTTTTTTTTTTGAGTGGAGTTTTGCTCTTGTTGCCCAGGCTGCAGTGCAATGGAGCGATCTCAGCTCACTGTAACCTCCACCTCCCGGGTTCAAGCGATTCTCCTGCCTCAGCCTCCCTAGTAGCTGGGACTACAGGCATATGCCACCACACCCAGCTAATTTTTAGTATTTTTAGTAGAGACAGATTTCTCCATGTTGGTCAGGCTGGTCTCAAACTCCCGACCTCAGGTGATCTGCCCGCCTCGGCCTCCCAAAGTGCTGGGATGACAGGCGTGAGCCATCGCCCCGGGCTTGAAAGGTGCCATTTTAAAGATCTGCCCAAACACACCTCCCGCCCTGCCTCCTGCTGTAACCTCAGAACTGGGGCTTGGCCTGGCAGGTCTTGCACAGACAGCAAGAGGCGCCCGGAGCAGATGCTGCATCTGACCAGGTGGTGCCTCGGCTGCAGCTGCAGGATCGGGGGCTGCATGCCTGTGTTCTCGTGGTGCCCAAGACGAGCATGCCTGGAACCAGGGGGCGGCTGGGACACACGTGTTCACGGCACACGTGTCTCCTCTGACCAGCCAGCCCACCCATGGCCGTTTCCTCTCCCACAGCTTCCTGTGCACACACCATCCTGCCATGAGAGCCAGTGTCCTCTGCTCTTTCCTTTCGACTTGTGGTCCTCCCAGACCCCAGGAGCATTGTTCCAGACGACAGGAGGAGACCACGCTTGTTGAGAGCTGTTTGGTGACTAGGTCGTTGGTGTGAAACTTAAGCGGCTCTAACCCAGGAGGGATCCTTTATGATCACAGAAAGATGAGGGGGATACACACTGATGGGGGGATGTTGGCCAGGCCCCTTCCCTGGAGTCCTCTGGAGCACACTGCAGGCTGCTGCTGTTCCCTGACTGCCGTGAAGCAGACCACAGGCCGGCCCGGCACACCCTCGCCGTGTGCCTTCCCTCTTCCGTCCACACCGCCACTGCCCTCCATGCTCCTTGACATCCTGAACCTTGTCAGGAAGCCATTCGTGTGCCCACCAAACATGGAGAAGCCCCCCTTGCGTGCCCGGTGGCATGCTAGTGCCCGCGGCTGCGTTTGGGAGCAAAATCAGCAGAGTTGATGTGTGATCAGGGGGAGCCGACCTCTGCAACACCATCACCTGGATGCTCCAGTAGGGACCCCAGAGGTGTGTTAGGGGCGGCCAGGCCCAACAACTGCAGGCCTGACTCACTCCACCCAGGGCAGCCCGGGGAGAGCTTCCGGGAAGCGGCATTTGGGCTGACCCGGGAAGGGTGCTGGGCATTAATCAGTTTGGGAGGGGCTGGGGGAGCAGGGGCATATCCCCGGAACGGGACCTGACTTCTGAGAAGACATCATCAGAGTAGAGAAAATGGCTTCTCAAGGAGATGGGGGACACCGGCGTGAGAATGGTGGGGGGTGGGGGGTGGAGAGCCGCCCCGAGGAGCAGGAGGGGGCCCACTGGACCACAGCGCCTCGAAGGCCGTGGTGGGGGCCGTGGCGAAGGGCTTGGGTCTCATTCAAGGGGTGATGACGGGAGGTCGCCACGGGTTTTGTCTGAGAGATAAACCCCAACTGAGTGGACCTTCTGGCCAAGGGGATCCCAGAGAAACCCTGACCCCGAGTCCTCCGCCATGCGGGGTAAGGCTCAGACCCCTGCTTTCGGCCGGAGAAGAGGTCACAGAATGGTTCTGGACGTCCGCGGAGAGTTCGCTCAGCCGCCCGTGCCTGCGTCTCCTTTCGTGAACATTCACGACTCCTCCTGAGCGCACTGAGCGTCTCCTCAGCACGAATTCCTGTTCCCCCGCCGCTCCCTCAAAGTGTCCGTTCAGACTTCTGGCCCGAGGCTCTGCTTCCTCGCCTGTCAGGGCTGCCCTGCAGGCTGCGACCCCTGTGGGAAATAAAGCTCTCTGGTGTGCAGAAAAGCAGTTTGGAGACTGGGCGCAGCGGCTGACGTCTGTGATCCCAGCACTTTGGGAGGCCGGCAAATTATGAGGTCAGGAGTTCGAGACCAGCCTGGCCAACATGGTGAAACCCCATCTCTACTAAAAATACAAAAAATTAGCCAGGTGTGGTGGCAGGCGCCTGTAATCCCAGGTACTCAGGAGGCTGAGGCAGGAGAATCACTTGCACCTGGGAGGCAGAAGCTGCAGTCAGCCGAGATCACGCCACTGCACTCCAGCCTGGGCGACAGTGTAAGACTCTGTCTCAAAAAAAAAAAAAAAGTAGTTTGGAGCCCTGGTAACATGGTGAGTGAGACCTTATCTCTACAAAAAATACAAAGATTACAAAAATTAGCTGAGCGTGGTAGTGGGCGCCTGTAGTCCCAGCTACTCAGGAGGCAGAGGTGGGAGGACTGCTTGAGACTGCGAGGTTGACTGAGCCAGGATTGTGCCACTGCACTCCAGCCTGGGCAACAGAGTGAGACCCTGTTTCCCTCCCCCTCTGCCCCCCCCCCCCCTCTCTCACACACACACACACACACACACACAGGGCTGGGCGCAGTGGCTCATGCCTATAATTGCAGCACTTTGGGAGGCCGAAGCAGGTGGATCACTTGAAGTCAGGGGTTCGAGACTAGCCTGACCAACATGGTGAAATTCCATATCGATATATATCTTTTTAGGCAGAGTCTCACTCTGTTGCCAGGCTGGAGTGCAGTGACGCGATCTCAGCTCACTGCAACCTCTGCGTCCCGGGTTCCAGTGATTCTCCTGCCTCAGCCTCCCGAGTAGCTGGGACTACAGGCATGTGCCACCACGCCCAGCTAATTTTTTTTTTTTTTGTATTAAAAAAAAAAAGATACGGGGTTTCCGCCGGGTGTGGTGACTCATGCCTATAATCCCAGCACTTTGGGAGGCCAGGGCGGGCAGATCACAAGATCAAGACCACCCTGGCCGACATGGTGAAACCTCGTCTCTACTAAGAATACAAACATTTTTGTATTTTTTAGCTGGGCGTGGTGGCAGGCGCCTGTAATCCCAGCTTCTTGGGAGGCTGAGGCAGGAGAATCACTTGAACCTGAGAGGTGGAGGCTATAGTGAGCTGAGATCCCACCACTGCAGTCCAGCCTGGGCAACAGAGTGAGTCCAACTTAAAAATTAAAAAGGAAAAAAAAGGAAAGAGAGGATGAGACGTCACTGCTGATTCCACAGACATTAAAAGACTGCTAAAGGGCCAGGCGTGGTAGCTCATGCCTGTAATCCCAGCACTTTGGGAGGCTGAGGCAGGTGGATCACTTGAAGTCAGGAGTTCAAGACCAGCCTGGCCAACATGGGGAAACCCGTCTCAATGAAAAATACAAAAAATTAGCCAGGTGTGGTGGCAGGTGCCTGTAATCCCAGCTGCTCCTGAGGCTGAGGTGGGAGAATTGCTTCAACCCAGGAGGCAGAGGTTGCAGTGAGCTGAGATCACACCACTGTACTCCAGCCTGGGTGACAGAGCGAGACTCTGTCTAAAAAAAAAAAAGAAACTTTAAATGTAGCAGGTGTGGTGCACCCCCCTGTGGTGGCGGCTCCTTGGGAGGCTGAGGTGGGAGCATGGCCTGAGCCAGGAGGTCGAGGCTGCAGTGACCTGATTGCACCACTACACTCCAGCCTGGGTGACAGAGCACCCTGTCTCAAAAAAATCAGAGTGGCGGAGACCTGACCACCTCTTCCAGAATCCCAGGCCAAAGCACCATGATGGAGAGGGGGGCCTGGGGCGCAGTCCCCCTCCGGTATCTCGTTCCCTCATGCGGGCTGGATGCAGAGGCAGGATAGGAGCCCAGCAGGAACCCCATCCTGCAGTCTGGCGTGGCGCACCCCGAGTGTGGGCCTCCGAACCCACTCACCAGGGTGACGGCGACTGCTCTGTCCTGGGGGCCTTGGGCTCTGTGTCCCCCTTCCCTGAGCCCAGGGAAGCTGCTGTTCCTTGTGGGAAGAAAGTGGTCCAGGTGCCATGCAAGAGACTGAAGGCACAGTCTGTCCCAGCATAATAAATAACTGATTACTTAGTTACAGCAATGACAGCGGTTAGATTTAGATGCAATCACATAATCAGTTATGGACTCAATCTTATTACATCATTACTCTGGTATTAACCTTTGCTTTAGTATTACTGTGTAGGAACGTTTTTAATCTTATAAAAATGATTGGGTGAAATATATTCAGAACTGAAGGGACATTGTGAGGAGTGATCAGGAGACAAGAGTGAGAGCCTTGCGGTAGCACCAGCGCCCAGGGAGGCGCCCGTTACTTAGCAGGCAGGACTTGCGGTGGTGCCAGTGCCCGGGGAGGTGCCCGTTTCTTAGCAGGCCATGAGGGGAGTTCCCCTTTCACTGAGGGAGTTCTCTGAAAACTCTGCTCTCGAGGAAGGTCTGACACTGGCCAGGCCGGCCGCAGACATCCAGGGGCTTAAACACCTCTCCGTGGTGCTGTGCTCCGGCGGTCACCACCCTCGTCCACTTTCAGGTTCCACTTTCCCACCCGATGCTCCCTTGTAAATTCTTAGAAGCTGTGAGAAGTAAGAATAGAGGAATCCTAAAAGCCTTGGATCTCTCTGATAAGTTCATAGAAAGATAGCGACGTAAGTGCCTCCCCTCCTTGCAGCGGCTACCTGAGAGGGAGGGGTCCTCTGTACTGTACCCCTGTGACCCTGTGTACCATACTCACATGGCCCCCCGTATTGTAAGAACGTGATTTGCTTGACCCCTATGAATCATGTCAGATGAGTCACTCTCCGGCCCTGCCCCCTGCCTTGTATACAATAAATATCCAGGCATTGGGGCCACTGCCGGACTCCGCCCCTTGGTGGCAGTGGTCCCCCAGCCCAGCTGAATTCTAACTCTGTGTCTTGTGTCTTTCTTTCTGCGATCTATTGTCTCTGCACACAAAAAAGCACCCACTAGACCCTGCGGGGCTGGACCCTGCAGTCTCAATCCTGTCGTTGGAGAGGTGGCGAGGGAGAAGGGAAGGAGCTGGGAGAATAGGGAGAGGGGCCACTTGGTGTCCCACGGGCAGGGAGGGAGGGGCAGCAAGCAGGGTTAGACACGTACACACCACACACAGCAGCGCACCCCCCTCCACAGCTCTCCGGCTGCTGGGTCACAGTTGCTCGCGGTTCTGTGGGTGCCAGCCGCCGACCCTGGCAGAGCTCGTGTGGTCTATGATGGCTTTTCACCACACACAGCCTGTGGGTCAGGCTCATGCCATGGCCCTGGAGACACCACAGCTGCAGCTGCTTCTGGACAACACCATTCCCCTGACCCCATTTCAGAGACAGTGGCCCGGCCAGGGTTCTCTCTGGAGAGAGGTGAGATCAAGAATCCAGGGGAGGCCGGGCATGGCGGCTCATGCCCGTCATCACAGAACTTTGGGAGGGAGGCTGAGGTGGGCGGATCACCTGAGGTCAGGAGTTCGAGACTAGCCTGGCCAACAAGGTGAAACCCCGTCTCTACTAAAAATACAAAAATTAGCTGGGCATGGTGGTAGGCACCTGTAATCCCAGGTACTTGGGAGGCTGAGGCGGGAGAATCGCTTCAACCGGGGTGGTGGAAGCTGCAGTGAGCTGAGATTGTGCCACTGCACTCCAGGCTAGGCGACAGAGCGAGAATGTCTCAAACAAAACAAAAAATCCAGGGGAGCCCACAGGTATGCCTGCCACAGACGACCCCCCCCCAGGGAGTCCACAGGCTGCAGCCGAGCTGATGGGGCTGGCCAGTGCTCCTGGATGCCTCCTGCTGCCTCCCAGGGCCTGTGCGGTTCTGTCCTGGAATTACAGTGCTCACTCTGCTGGGCCTTTGGGGTCCAGGTTGGGGTGAAAACGTGCAGGGAGTGGCCTGGGGCTCTCGGGAGGCCCCACAATTTGGGTCAGAGTCTGCAAGTCCCAAAGTTTCTGGCATGGGGCTTGGCAGCTGTGGGGTCTCATGGGAGGCGTTTAAGACCCAGAGTCACCAGCTTGGGCTGACAGCTTTTCACTCCATGTGACCAGGTTGCCTTTCTCCTTTCTGTTAAGCAAAAGCCCTCACGGTTTCTAAGAGCGGACCTCCAGGTGACGAAAACCAGGTGGCCCGTGGGGTCAGGCCGAGTGTGTCTGCAGCTGCAGATCAGGCCTGCGCCGTGAACGGCCCCCGCTGCGGGAGGTCCTGGGCTGCCCCAGCACTGCAAACTGGGGGCTGGGGCGTCGGGAGCTCATTCTGGTTCTAGAGGCTCAAAGGCCAAACCCGGCTGTTGCCACGTTGTACTCCCTCTGGGGGTGTCCCAGGAGGCGCTTTCTAGTCCCCTCCAGCTGGGGCGGTGCCGGCAGGCCTGAGTATTGTGGGGCTGGGCTGCGCCTCTCCCATTCCTGCCCCCGCCCTCCGTGGCCTTGTCTCCTCTGTGGCCAGCCTCCCCTCTTCTCACCCAGGACCACAGCCATTGGATCTAGGGCCTTATTTTGTCTTTTGATTTATTCTTTATAAACGTGGTTTCACGCTGTCGCCCAGGCTGGAGGGCAGCGGCACAATCATGGCTCACTCCAGCCTCGTCCTCCTGGGCTGAAGTGACCTTCCACCTCAGCCTCCCGAGTAGCTGGGATGGTGAGCAGTGCCACACCCAGCTGACTTTTTGTTTTGATTTTTTGTAGAGCCAGGGTCTTTTGATGTTGCCTGGGCTGGACTTGAGCTCCTGAGCTCAAGCGATCCTCCCAGCCTGGCCTCCCAAAGTGCTGCATGACAGGTGTGAGCCACTGCACCCAGACATACCATTTCCACACAAGGTCACAGTCACAGGTTCAGGTGGAATGACATTTCGGGGGCACTGTTCAGCCCTCACAGTCACCTTCCCCCATCTCCCCCCACCCAGCCAGGGTCAGACCTCCCCAGCACTCTCCTCCTTCCCCATGCGGCCTGATCCCTGCTCATGGCCAAGACGTCCTGGGGGTGTTACGCGTAACATCCTAGGGAGATGCTCCACCTAATACTGCAGCAGGAGCGCACTGGCTTCTCCCTCTCTGCGCCCGGGAGGCAGCCCCGAGGGACTCCACTGGGTACTCTGGCTTGCACTGACCCTTCCACCTCCCTCTGTGACCTGGGGCGGGGGCATGCCGTCTCCACCTTCCCAATCCCGAACCCACTGCCCAACCCAAGGCCCTCCACAGGGACGTCTTCGTTTGGACTGAGGCCCAGAGTCCCGGCATTTTCTGCCAGAAAGTCTTAGGCCAGCTTCACCCAGACCTCGACCTGAAGGATGTTCACACGCTCCTTCGAAGCCCTCCCCATCAGTGCAATCAACAGAGCCATTCCAGAACGTCCAAACCCTCAGGGGTGTGGTGTGGGGAGAGCCCGGGGGGGACAGAAACACTTGGTAATGATGAGCGAACCTCTGTGTCCACGGGGCAGCTGGAGCAGGGAGGGGGAGGTAACGTTTAGGTTATTTGTTGTCTTATCCAGAATGGTGATCCGTGAAGCCTAGAAGAAACTCTGAGTTGTCACAGAGACTGTGAGTGTTCTGGGACCGTGGGCGGGCTGTTGCTGTCCTTTCTGTTTTGGTTTTTTAATTATTTTTATTTTTTTGAGACGGCGCCTCGCTCTGTTGCCCAGGCTGGAGTGCAATGGCAAGATCTCAGCTCATTGAAACCTCCATCTCCCGGGTTCAAGCGATTCTCCCACCTCAGCCTCCTCAGTAGCTGGGATTACAGGCGTCCAGCATCATGCCTGGCTAATTTTTGTATTTTTGTAGAGACGGGATTTGACCATATTTGCCAGGCTGGTCTTGAACACCTGACCTCAGGTGATCCGCCCACCTCAGCCTCCTAAAGTGCTGGGGTTACAGGCGTGAGCCACCGTGCCGAGTGGGCTTTGATTTTGTTTTGAATGGGAATGTGGTTCGAACGTATCCTCTCCAAACTCAGATGTTGCCAGTGTGAACGTTATGGAGAGGTGCGGGCTTTGAAGAGGCCACGAGGCCATGAGGACTCCTGACCTCAGGTGATCCACCCGCCTCGGCCTTCCAAAGTGTTGGGATCACAGGCGTGGGCCACGGAGCCCACGAGTGCTGTATGCTTAACCTCTGACCTCTGTCCTGTAACCCAGGGCAGCGGATGTGAGTCTCCACCTTCTAAGTGCCCCGCTGTCCTGGGCAGCTCGTCGGGGGCTCAGCAGGTGGTGGCCTGCCCCGGCGGCTGCGCACAGCAGTTCCAGTCCGTGCGTGGTAGATGCGCTCCCCAGCACGGGGCAGGTGCTGGCACGGGTGCCGCAGCCCCGGGGACTCTGCAGGGGCAGGCGTCCCTCGCACTCTCTCCACGGCGACAGCTTTCACCAGCTCCAGGGCCAGAGCCAGCTCCTGCGCCAGCGGCCCCGCCAGCTCGGGGGGCAGCGCCGGCTCCCGTGCCAGCTCCAGGACCGGAGGCAGCTCTGCCGCCAGCTCGGGCAGCACCCGCAGACAGCGCAGGCCTCGGCCCTCTGCGCCGGCTCCAGCGTCCTCCGGCCAGGGCCGGCTCCAGCGTCCTCCGGCCAGGGCCGGCTCCAGCATCCTCCTCCGGCCAGGGCCGGCTCCAGCATCCTCCTCCGGCCAGGGCCGGCTCCAGCGTCCTCCGGCCAGGGCCGGCTCCAGCATCCTCCGGCCACGGCCGGCTCCAGCATCCTCCGGCCACGGCCGGCTCCAGCGTCCTCCGGCCAGGGCCGGC